GAGCGCAGAGGGTGTGGGGGGAGGCAGGACCCACCACCCTGCCCTGCCCGACTCTGGGAGCACAGGGCCAGGACTAGAACCTGAAGACAGTGGAAAACACACATGCACACACAGGCATGTACACACACACACAGGCGTGTACAGGCAGGCATGCACACACATGGTCACACGTGTACGCACCCCAGCTGCATGGCGGGAGGAGGGCGGGGGATCCTTGGACTGTGCCTCCGGCTGTGTCACAGCGGAGGAGCATGTTGAATGGAGGCAGCCAGGAACACAGAAGGATTTTCACAGGGCGATTTGAAAACATACGAATGATTCATGTCACCATTATGTCCATCTCAGGCTGTTTACATAACAGATTCACACTTCACACCCAGCTCTCAGGGGCTGGAGGTGGAAGGACACAGAGGCCACTTTGGTTCTGAAAAGCACACGACTCAGGTGGACAGCGGGCAGCAGCCCAGGCCTGTGGGAGCCCCCCACGCTGGGTCTCATGGGAGACATGGGGGGCAGGGTGTCGCTGGGTCCTGCGGTCAGAGCTGGGCCAGTGTGGGCAGCCAAGGCTGCAATGCAGCAGGAGCAGGGGCAGCTGCTGGTGCTGCTGGAAGACCACACACTCTGTCACACGCACATCGTGACAGGTCAGAGTGGCGGAAGGGCTCCTACCAGGGGTGTCCTGGGAGCAAGGCATGGGCGGTGACCAAATCCCAGGCTGTATACGGGGGGTGGGGGGGCAGGAGGATAGGCCCCACAGCCTTGCGCACCTGGCTGTGCCTGGCCCTGGGGCTCAGACCATCCATCTCCCTCTCTCCACCCCAGTGAGGGCGGGAGTCACCACCCCCTGCCTGTCTGAGGAAGTCGCACCCACTGCAGGAGAGCCCACTTCTTCTGGGTCTACCAGGAAGGAGCCTAGCCTCTGGGTTCCCAGGTGACGTCACCTGTTCCACCCAGCCCAGAGCCCAGCCCCCACAGTACAGGGGCCACGCCTCCTCCTAAGGCCACCAGCCTGTCCCCGGGCATCACAGCCAGGCTGACTGATGGATTTCTGCATAAACATTCACACGGCATCTCAGCCAGGACTAGTTGTTAGTAGTCTAGGGAAGCAAAGTGGACACTGTCCTCTCGGAAGGAGTGCGGCCAGCACACAGCTGATGGGCACATGGCCGTGGGCATTTCAAACCTGCCCTTCAGCGTCAGGGCTCTTGTCTGAGTCAGTCTCCAGGCTGACCGTGGGGCAAGGGGGGGCAGGACAAACTGTCGGGCCTGCACTTTCCTCCACCCGTCTCCAGGTGTCTGTCCCACGCCCGTGGCCCTGTCTGCAGTGGGGGCACTGAGGAAGAGCCCCATCTCCAACTCACAAGGGCACTGGCCCTTTCCTGACCTGTGTCCACTGGGCCACCTGTCACTGTGGGATTCCCACCATAGTTAGGAGCAAACCCAACGCATGCTAGGCCCTTGGGTTCAGGCTCATGCCCTGCTCCCCCTGGCCAGGGGTGCTCACCTCAGCTGGCTGGTCTCCGCCCCTTTCAGCCTGTCCCTGCTGGGCTGCGAGTGACCAGGGTTGGATGGGCTGGGGGTAGAGAAACTGCCCCCACCTGGGCTTCTGGGGTACCGCATGGGGCCCGGTGGTGCATTATCTCTGGACTTAGGATGCTCTTTTCTTCCCGGGGGGGACAGGACAGCCGCTTACCCACCTGCCCTCCTGTAGGGCCACTTCTGCTGCAGCACGAATGAGACTGGGTCGGGGGGTGCCTGGCAGCCTGCCCCCAGCATCAGCCCGCCATCCCCGCCGCAGTGGGGGCCACACACTGAGGCCACAGCAACCTGCCAGAAGTCCCGTGTGACAGTTGCCAGCAGGCCTGGGCATGTTGCCCGCTGGGGCTGGGGGAGGGGCACGGCCAGGAGTGCTGAATCAGCAGCACCACATATCCCTGTGTGTCCCGGTCTCCTCCCAAGCAAGGATGCTGGTGAGGCAAGCGCTCCTCTTTGGGGAGCTGTGCCAGCTTGCTGGGGGCTCTGGAAGGTGGTGCCTGCAACCGGCGCCGCTGTGTGGATCCTGGTGCACAGCCAGCCAGCTCCTGGGGCAGGCGGGGCAGGGCTGTCCTGGAGGGGCTGGGGGCTAGAACAGACAGGGCCCTTCCAAACACCACCAAAAAGGGAGACAGAAAAGAGGCCTCTGCAGATGGGAGGAAGCACGGTCCCTGCCCAGGAAGTGCCGAGTCAGCACCAGCGCCTGCCATCCCCTCCCTCTCATCCAATCACAAGCTGGAAGCGACAGGACCTCTCAAGGTCAGGGAACATCAATACCCGTGGGCGGTGGCCCTGTCCTCTGCAGGAACACTGGGGTCTGGCCATCCTCCCGGGTGGGTGGGGGCTGTGTCCCTCCCCCAGGTTGTCTAGCAACTGCCATCACACAGGAGGTGGGGGGTCAGGGAAGTAGGGGATACAGGGGGGCTGCCACCCCTGCCAGGACCTGGACAGCACCCAGACTTTCTTAAATAAGCCTGTGGTTTCTAGATACTCCCGAAGCATCACCCCTTCCTGCCACTGCCCCCCCACCTGCTTATTCCCATCACCTGGCCTGGTGGCCGAGGCAGCTCTGGCTCTTTCTGCCCAATGCACCCCAGCACCTGGCCACAGGAAGCCCCCCACTCGGCTCCTCTGACCTTTGTTCTAAGGAGAACTGCTCCCTCCTCCCTCCCTTCTTTGCCCTAGGCCCTGACCTCTGACTTCCAGTCCTGACCACCTGATGCCCCCCAGTGCTCTCCTCCTGCCCAGCAATCCTCGCCTGCCTTCCCCAAACGTGACATCTCCATCCCTGGCCTCTCGCTGCCTCCTCAGGTGCCCCTCTGACTCCCACACCCTGCAGCTGACTCTTACAGCCGCTGCTCTCAGCTCTCCCTCCGGCTCTGCTCCTGGCCCACAGCCGGAAAACTCCTCTGGAGTCATTGTGCAGTTTGGCCCACGCCCGCCCACCTTCCACCCTCCAGGTTCAAAATGTGGCTTTGGTGCCTAGCTCCTGACCTCAAGTCGACAACAGCCCACTGCCACCATCCTCCAGGTGCTGCCACCACCTGGCGGCCTTGCCAACTCCAGGTCCTCGGCACTCCCTCTGTTACATTCCCCTGGCTTTCAGTCCCCATCGTCCCCCACCTGCGCGTCCTGGCCAGGGGGGGCCTTCCTCACCCCTCCAGGCCACTGGAGTCTGACCCGCCAGCTCTCCTGACCATTTCTCTACCTCAGTGGCAGCCTGGGCCATTTGGGGGGTGAGGAGGGAACAGCAGCTGAGGGCTGAGGCTTTGCAAGGATTAACTCTGTCCCCTGAACCAGCCCCCAGCCCCAGGAAGCCGGATCATGCAGGTAATTCCCAGGAGAAGTAAATCTGCTCCAAGGCATTTCAGCCGATGCCCAGTTCCCCTTCAGGCAAAGTCCCAGCTACAGCTGAGTGGCTGCTGCAGTTGGGATACTCCCCCCTCTGCCCCATAGCACCCGGAGGGCCCCAGCCCCTCCCTGGGTGGATCCTTAGCTGGTAACTAGAGCACTGTCTAGGGGACCGGGGCTCTGGGCAAGCCCTGCCTTCCCTGATTGGCCACTCAACAGTGACTGTCGCATAGGGGACCTCGGGTTAAACCAGCCCAGAGTACAGGAGTGGCCTGCAGCACACAAACCCCCACCCTTATAATCCAGCTGCTCGGTCCCAGTTCTGTCCGTTAAGGTGACCTTGAGCCAGGTGTGGCAAAATCCGTTCGGACTTCAGCTGCTTGGCCACAGCAGCTCCAGTTCCTGATCTCAGGGGCCCTGTGGGGCCAGTGCTCCCGCACTGGACAGCACTGGCCTAGAGAACTGGAGGAAGCTACTCCAACCCACTGAAAACAAAGCCAAACTGGTGGGGAGGCCTTGGTGTGGCGAGAGGACTAACCTGGCACAGAGCCGGCAGGGCCCTCACCACCACTCCAGGGAAGCAAGTGTGGCAGAGGGCTCTCCCATGGGTGCAATCCTGTGCCCACATCTGGGCTCCCTGGGCTCACCCAGGTGCCAGACCAGGCTGGTCTGGGAAGCAGCATCACCCAGCTCAGGCTTTGTGGAAGGAAGTTCACCTCTGCTGCTCTGGGCTGAGGCTTTTGTGAGGATTTCACCAGCTCTGCCATCAAAAGCTGGACCCAAAATGAGCTGTTTTCTAAAATGCTTAGTTTCTCAAAGGTCCAGAAACAGCAGACAGGCTGCTTGTAACAGCCCCATTCCCTCTCAAGGTCACTCTCTGGCCACTGGGGCTATTCTGAAGGACATCATCTCGTCATCGCATAGTCCCCTGCACAGAAGCCAGGGAAACCTTCACAAAATATTTTCTAAGGAATCATGTGTCTCTCATGTTTCAAACTGCTTTCTGGTTAAGTGAGAACTGTAACTCTGAAAAAGCCTCATAGACACAGGCAACTATGTGGGGACTACGAGAGGGAAACGGGGTGGGGCAAGTAAAGGAGGGTTAGGGGGATCGATGGTGACGGAAGACTTGACTTGGGGTGGTGAACACACAACACAATAGACAGATGACATATTCTAGAACTGTACACCTGAAACCTGTATAATTTTATTAACCAATGTCATCCCAATAAATTTTTAAAAAAATTGTGACTTTGGTTTCCTGCCTCTTTTCCCTGCACATGTGAGTTTCCCTAAAGTGAGAGCCCACTATAGGTCCAGATCTTCCCACTCCCCAGTCCATGAGGGCACCCCCATCTTACTCATCTGCTGGTGGAATCCTGCCCTGGTGACCCCGTCAGGCCCACTCGGGCAGCTGACAAATCTCAGTGCATCTCCAGCAAAGCTGCGGGGCAGGCTCCCATGGCAAAACCCCTGGCCAAGGTCAAAGGAGCCCCTTGCAGCCCATAACCCTTACCCCATTCCCAGCATTGCAAATGACTGCATAAAACATGCCCAATTTTACTTGGTTTTGGCTGTTAATATTCTTTAAAGAAATAAACTTTTTGAGCCCACAGTCACTCCGTCAACACATTAAAAAAATAAGTTTAATGCAGGTGGCTCTTTTCATAAAGAAGTTCACAGGCACTCAAGACCCCGAGCAGCTACGTGTTGAGCGTGTCAACTCCCAGTACTGCCACGCAGACATTCCAGGCGACCCACGGCCAGACCCCCTCCCCGCCACCCCTAAGGTGTGGACTCCGCCCACCTCAGTCAGGAGGCTTCAAAGGGTCTGAGCCAGGTGAGTTAATTAACACAAAACAAAGCTTTTAGGAAACAGCATGATTTAGTGCAAAAGATTCTCTGTAGCGCTGAGGATTGGGGCTCCTCGGGTCAGCTCCTTGAGCACCTCCCTTCAAGGAGTCTTCCCATCAACCTGGGGCTGACAATCGTCCAGAGCTGGCTACAGACTGAAAGGCTCGGTTATAGCCAAGTGCTTTTTGCTTTCTCTACCTGATTTGGGTTTTCTTCCAGTGGCACACAACTGTCATGACAGTCCCCTTGGCCACTGGCCTGCGGCCAGGCAGGGTCAAAGGGGCAACTACCCACAACCAGAGGGTGTGGGGACAACTTGGGGCAAAGCAGCATTGGCCCCATGTCCTGTCCTGTCTCTGCCTGTTGTCTGAGCATAATTACTCAGAGCGCCCTCTCACTTGCAGAGGAGGCCCCTGGCGGCCATTAAATAACACGGCCACCCTGTCCCCCTGCTGCAGAAGGCCAGAGCAAGGGGTCTGGACAAGACGCTAGCCCTCTGGAATGTGTTCTCTGTGACCAATAGTCCCCCAGGACCACCGGCCCTTTGTTCTTTCCTGGCCACAGTCCCTGTCGACATTCACTTTTGCTTTTTACCCCCTAGCTGCTCTAATGGCCCCTGAGGCAGGAACAAAGGGACAACCAAGTCCCTGGCCTGGAGATCTAGTCCTGTGCCACGCCTTTGACTCTAAGAGGTGCTTTTAAACAAAGGGTGGGCCCATGTTTCATGTGCACAATCAGAGCGCCTCTCCAGACCTTCAACATCTGTTCCAGACACGTAAGTCTCAATTCTGGGTGTCCTCTCAAAGAGAAACTAAAAGCACCCCCAAAGCCAGAGAGAGATTGAGCTGCCTCCCCAGAAATCCACATGTGAAGAGGCTTGACATTCCACACAGACCTGCCCAGGAGGAAGGAGGGTCTGCCCTGGGCCAGGCCCCTGATCTATGGCCCTGTCCAGGCCGTGACTCCCTGCTGGACTGTGCCTGCACAAACCAAGGTGACCCTGAAGACTGGCCCGGGACTCAAGACCCTAACACATCCCAGGGTGCCAGGCGGATGAGGGTCTGTGGGCTGTGCCAGACCGGGTGGCCCAGGGCAGAGTGGACAGCTTTGTGGCAGTGTGGTGAGTGGAGCCTGATGCTTCCCTAAGGCTGGGTCAGGGGCCAGGGGTGCGCAGCCAGGAGGAGCCCCCTCCAGATTTGCTCCTGGGCAACACATCCCTTGGGGGGACCCCCTACACCACGGGTGATGCCAGTGTCCTGGAGAACGGACAGGGACACAGAGGCTCTCCAAGTACAGACTGGACCGATGGCCAGCCCACGACAGGGCTGGAAAAGCATGGGCTGGAACCACAGGGCGATGGCCAGGGGGTGACCGCACCTGAACGCACACGCAGGGTGAGGAGAAAACCCCCAGGCTGGAGGGCGCGGTGTCCCGTCGACATCAGTCTCAGCCCCTCGCTCTCCCGGACAGGGACCTGGCTGTGGGATGGAGCGTGAAGGACAAGGCCCTGACCTACCCGCCAAGACGCCCGGCCGCCGGCATCGGCCCGCGGGTGGCAGCAACCGAGCCCGGCGCAGACCGGCGCTCACATGTCCACGAAGACCATGAAGCACCAGCCCAGGCCCCCGACCAGCAGCATGGTCACGTGGATGCCGTAGACCAGCAGCTCGTTGAGCAGGCGGAAGTCCACGCGCCGGCGGCCCAGCAGCAGCAGCAGCACCGACAGCTTGAGCTGGAAGCGCAGCAGCGCGCGCACGCCCAGGTACTGCAGGCAGAAGAGCGCGGCCAGCGCGCCCCACAGCGCGGCCGTGAACAGGCTGCAGCTGAAGTAGAGCAGGAAGCGGATGAAGCCGTAGAGCCAGCGCGCGCGCACGTACACGTCGAAGTTGTTGTACTTGGTGCGCGCCAGGCGCGAGGTGCGCGCGGG